TGAACTTATATACAAAGAGTTAAACAGGTGATAATATGATGAACTAAACTTAATAATTTAGTGCATATTTGCAGGGAGGAAGCGATAATTCTCTACTTCTTGACTTCTATCATTCTGCTCACTGTGAGAATTAGCGGCTTCCTTACATTATTTAATCTAACCCCCAAACAGTAGTTGATTTTTAGTTACTCTTTTAAAATCTGAAGTGATAGACTCTCTTTCATGAAAGACACCCCATCCCCTCGCTAAGGTTTAAAACTTAAGGGAATTAACAGACCCCTGAAATCTATCCGAAAACTTCTAGTTTAACAACCCCCAACTCTGTGAGCTTATTTTTTAAATAAAATGTATATATATCATAGACAGGGACTTTGGAAAGATAGGTCGATATTTTCTTTATTTTGGTGATGTAAGACAAGTAATGGTTTTAGAACAAACAATGCCATTCACTCTCTGAGAACAACCACAGTATTATAATTTTCAGGAATCCAGTTTTTAATTTTCTCACCCTGCAGGATCAATTTGCCTTAAGGGTTAAATTAAAAACTATAAACAGTCATTAAAACACAAAACAACCATGGTAGTTAACCGGATATTAAGAAGAAAAATCACATCTGTTTTAGAGTTCTGTTCCACAGCAAGTTTGAGAACATCAATTTCAAGAACCTGGTTTTATAGCATGCCCTTAAGCCAAGAACACCAGGTTACAATCAAGAAAAGGAAGGTAAGAAGTCTCACAAGCAGACTCTCACCAGCATATCCTGTTTCTAGGATTCTCTTTCTTCATTCAAAAGCAGTCAATAGAATTGGATTTGCTATTGCCTTGAAAGATAAATTGCCATTACTATTTACACATTAATAATTATCCTATTCTGATAATTAGGTAGGTTTACCAAAAGAGAAACAAAGAAAATAGCTTTCTTTGCTGTGTGTCTGGTGTTAAATAACAAATACTTGATTTACTGGCTTCTCAATACACATAGAACTTGAAGCTTGCAGAGAATCTGATTTTTCTAATTTAAGCCCCTTATAAAACTCCAACATGTCTGAGAGTGTACATCTTAAATAACCAATTTGTAATAAATTTAATCATCAAGAAAACAAGCGTAACTTTTGCAACTTTGCAAAAACACATATCTCTGGGCATCAGTGAAAACTTTTCCCTCTACAGTAAGCCTAATGAAGTGCAACTAAAAATAACAGTCATCAACTGTGGTTTTAAAGGCAATATTTCAACATAATCAAATGTGTCAAATATTCATCCTTACAGCTTCTTATGCTGTGGGTTATAAGTAAGTTTCATTTCTTGGGAATGATTGAACATAACCCACTTGGGGCTCTGCCATCTGTGAATTACTTATATGTGAACACTGTTTAAGAGATGGAAATTTTGATTGTTTTTTTCTTCCTGTGGATATTGGACTGAAATGTGATTGAACATGGCTTTTTAAGCAATTATTTTTCATATTAGTCGCTACACGGCTACATTATCACACACTCCCCACATTCACCACCACTTATCAAATCACAGGAATCAAGAATGGTGTAGCTGGAGTTGTGGAGGAAACACCAAGTATGAAATTCTAGAGATGGAAAAGAACATGAAGTCTCAGTGTCCATAGGCTCCAGGCCCAGGTCCTTGCCACAAGGAACCTCCTCTGCAGGGTGCCCGTGTGACAGTTGCGGTTGTTATGTTCCCAAGGTTTCCTTCAAAGGCTGCTTCTCTTATCAGAGAGTGAACAATGAAAGTGAGTACCGGACTATATATAGGGTGCCACATAATTTATCATCCATACATGCACGCTTCTGTGAGTTCATGAAGACACTATTAATAATTATGCCAGAACAACAGGCACTACCAGGACTTCCCTAGGCAAACCGAACTGCCCTGTTGCCCAAGAGATGATATGGAGCTCAAAGATCTTCCCCCAACAGACTCCAACCATCTCATTAATGCTATACCCAATTCTGCTTCTGTCTAGAGCTTCACTGTCCAATAAAACAGAGTAAGAACCACAAACAGAATTTTAAGTTTTTTAGTAGTCATGTAAAAAAGATAATTAAAAACAGGTGAAAATAATTTTAATAATATATTTATTCAACCCAATATACCTAATATATTATCATTTCCACATATAGTTAATATAACAATTATTAATGAGACCTTTTATGTTATTTTGTTCATGCTTCAGTCTGAAATGCTGTATTAAATTTTAAGTACATTTACATTTAGATCAGACACATTTCAATAGCTCAATAGCCACATGTAGCTAGTGGCTGCTATGCTGGACAGTGTATGTCTAAACATTCCACAAGTTTGGATATGCAGGCATATATTAACAATTATAACACACACACACACACACACACACACACACACACACACATTCCTTCTAGTAAATAGAAGCACACCTAAGTGTCTTTATTAATGTTTGCATAATAAAGCAGTTAAACTATCTTGCCTGTGGTGAACCAGACTCTGGAGCAGAGAACATTTACCTGGGAGACGCTCTTTGGGAAACAAAGAGAATAGCTGAGTCAGATTAATTAGTAAGCTGATAAATTTCTAAGAACTCCTAGGACTCTTCCTAGACTTACACGTATCTTGCATTTCTAAGTCCAAAACATATACACTGAGCATCTTCCATGTACTTGCCCCTAGGTAAAGATACATAAGGCACAACATTTGTACCTTGAGATGTTAAAGCCTAAAGTATTCATGGAGATTATTTTACAATTGAAGCAAGAGGCACCTAAGATGTGCCACTAGTCCATGCAAGGGCAAGGATCAGACTCTACTTTTTGGGTCTGAGGTCTGCACTTCATCATCCACAGAGGACACTCTGAGAAAAGGAAGAAACACGTGTTTCCTTTTCACTGTTGATACATAGAAATTCAGCCCATATTTGTTAACTTTCATAAGTAAGGCACAATGATTTTGGGTGCCAGCATTTATTCTTGAATTATGATATGCATATTTGCTAGTAATATGTCTTTCTGACCCATACCCCAATTTGGATCTCACTGATATAATATTTTGGTGAGGCTGCAGCATTTGCCAGATGGACAGTAGCCATCGTTTCGTCTAGGGAAAGCAACAGTGATGTCATTTTAATTGGTTTAAGCACAGAGCCTAAGTAATAGAAACATGGAAATAAACACTGGGAGACTGATATGGTTAAGTTTTCTGTCCCCACACAAATCATATCTTGAGTTGTAATCCAAATTATAATCTTCACATGTTGGAGGAGGGACCCCATGGGAGGTGACCGGATCATGGGGGCAGTTCCTCCATGCTGTTTTCCTGATAGTGAGTGAGTTCTCATGAGAGCTGATGGTTTTATAAGGGTTTCTTCCCCCTTCACTCTGAACTTCTCTCTCCTGCCTCCTTGTGAAGAAGGACATGTTTACTTCCCCTTCCACCATGATTTTAAGTTTCCAGAGGCCTTGCCAGCCATGCAGAACTGTGAGTCTATTAAACCCTTCCTTTATAAATTACCCAGTTTCAAGTATTTCTTTATAGCAGTGTGAAAATGGGCAAATACAGGGACTTTCTCCATGCAAACAATGCTAATACATTAATCAGACACATTCTCATTTTACAGTACACAGACATCATGAAAATAAGAACTAAATCGTAGTTCTGCTCTTTCATGTAATTCTTTCACTGAACAGGTGTCTTTCCCCAATCCAATATAATTAAACTCAACATGGTCTCAACCAGTGTGTGTTTAAAAAAAGCCATACCACATACCAGTTTTGCTTGTACTTACGTTAAAATAGAACACATCTACCTGATTTTTATTAATGTTCCATTAAATATATTTCCTTAGAAGGATAGAGTTTTAAATAGAATAGTGGTAACACATTACATCTAAAATACTTTCAAGACATCTGCTTTCTTGTATAAAAAAATAAATAGGCTAAAATATTGCCACAAATCCATTAAAAAATAGCTAATGATGTGGAATAGTGACTCCTATGTCATATACGCTGACACTGGCTCTTGATAAGAATATTTTATACCAAACCAGAAGAATCCATTTAACTCATTTTAACATTCTTATATGCCCATAAAGGATGTGTTTATTTTTTCTTAAGGTGCTATAGACAGTGAGACTGTGTCTTGTTTTCAGGGAATTTTTAATATGGTTATGTTATTGAAGATTAAGTATTGCAATGGTATATAGTCATTAGCCAAAATTGAACCCTCAGCCTATCTGAGAGGATAATCCACAATTACAGCTCTTCAAAGCAACTGAAGATTTAACTGGATGATCCCACAGTCCTATATGGAAGGAGACTATCATCTCTTCAGGAAATTATTCTCCACTTAACCTATCAGTTATAACAGTTATAAGCATAACTAGTTATAAGCACTTTTGGCATGTGATTTCGTTTTTCTTCAGTCCGAATGCTGAGTTCTAGAAATACAATCCTGGCCCCACATTTTCATGATACTGGGAGCTTGAAAACGTACACCAGTCTCCATGATACGGTTTTGCAAAACACTGGGTTAACACACCAAAAACATAACTATATCTTAGGACATTATGAAACAGGAAGATGAAGGAAATGTAACAGTATAGTGTGCTGGCTAGAACCAAGGAGTTTGCAGCCAGAACACCTGGGTGAAATTCCTGGCTCTGCCACTTATTAGCTACATGACCTTAAACAAATTACTAAACTTCCTCTGCCTCAATGTCATTATCAGTTAAATGGAGATAAAAACATGTGCTTACCTTGATGTGGAAGTTTAGATGACTTACTATAAAACACTCAAAATAGTGCTTGGCACATGATCAGTGCCACATAAATAATGGCTATCAATATAACTATATACAAGTAATAGCCCATGCTAGCTAATATAACTAATACCACATATACTATCAGAAGATCTCTATCTACCTACCAATTTAGTTAAAACTGCAAAGTCCCACTTAATCTATGGGTACAGCAGTTTGATCTTTCATTAGAAATAAAAACAGCTGGATACCTACTGGAATAACCGGTTTCAGACCCTGGCCACCAGGGTGTGAAGTGCTTGGCTGGGCATCAGCAGGTGGGCCTGGCACTGGGTCACTGCTTCTCCTCACCAGCAGTGGAGTGCCTGGAAGACAAAGTGAGAGGTGAGAGGTCAAAAGAACCCTGGGGTGAAGAGAGTGCATGACACAATGCACTTTAATTAAAAAGGTTTACAACATGCTTTTATGTAAAAACATTCTATTTCTAAGGATGCTTGTAAATTAATCCATGTAATGATCTTTCCTCATCTACTTATAGAATGACACATGGAAAAAAAAATCTTTCAACCCTCATCTTTGCCTTATGTAAAAACATTCTATTTCTAAGGATATTTGTAAATTAATCTATGTAATGATCTTTTGTCATCTACTTACAGAATGACACATGGAAACAATATCTTTCAACCCTCATCTTTCCCCACTTGCACTTCAAAACAAGCCACTGCATTTAACAGGAACTGTTAGGCAATGCACAAGTTGACTGTGTACAATCTAAAAACTGATCTAGAAAATATATGTGAGTATTAAAAAGAATGATTATCCAGGGGACGAATGAAGAGGTTCACATAGTCAGTGTAATTTGTTATTCAACAGAGCTGGAAGTATAGTTTTTACTGCCATTTGGTGCTTTCCAAATCTTTTGAATGATTATATAAACTGAAATAAATTATTTGCTGGGGTTATAACATTAATGCCTATTTAAGTACACAAAGAGATTGCTTCCATTCTCTTCCTCTTCTCCTGAAGTAGATAGAACTGATAAAGAAAATAAGTTAGTTCTTCTAAAAATACATCCTGATTTCTTTTTAATTTAATGAAAGCTTCCACTATTAAATATTTGAGTCAGTTATTAAATTCTGAAAAAAGATCATACCATTAGAAAGTTCAAATGAAATTCAACCTTAGCAGAGCTAGCGACCTAACTGCTGACTGCAATTAGGCCTAAAAAAAAATGTGTTTCATACAAAATTGGCCACTATAGAAAAAAAAACTCAAAGAAAAAAATATCTGCTTGTGGTTTAAAAATCACTCTCATATAAAAATTAACATTTTATTTTTGTACTTTTGGGGAAAGAGTAGGAAACAGTTGAAATGCGATTTCTCATTTCTCAATATTCTGAAAATAATTCCCCAAACCTCTGAAGCGATTGCAGTTTAAAAGAACATTTTTCATCTGCTTTGTAAGTTATTTACAAACCTAGTTTTTATATTTTATATGTGCTTTAACATTCTTATTTTGTACAAAACCACAGAATTGCAAATATTTTTTATCTTTGTCTAGATAGAAGTGGCTTTAAAAAAAAAAAACCAAACAAAAAACTTCCCTCATGGTGAGAAATTAACATACTATTATTACAGACCTATGCCAAACAGTATTATGAAGTTCAGGTTCACATTCCTTTATTTCCTTTTTATTAAGAGATATGACTAAATTTTTCACCATCCCTCCACCTCCATCTCAAAATTTCTTAACCAACTGACATACTAATAATTGTTTGGTTGGCAACTGTTCTTTAAAATAAAACATTAAAAAAAAAAAAGCAAGAAGAGTAGAAGCAAGTAGATTTTTCTTGGGGAATAAATTTGTTTTCCTTAAAAAACATATACATATATATATATTTTACACAGTAATTTTCCTTCAATTTAAGGACAATGCCTATGAGTCCTCATTCACTGTCAATATCTGCTTTTTAAATAACCACAAATTAAAATATTTAAGATATGATTTTATAATAATATGTATTCAAGCTGGGCACTGTGGCTCACATGTGTAATTCCAATTCTTTGGGAAGCCGAGGCAGGTGGATCACTGGAGGTCAGAGATTAGAGACCAGCCAGAACAACATGGTAAAATCCTGTCTCTAATAAAATACAAAAATTAGCTAGGCATGGTGCTGTAATACTAGCTACTTGGGAGGCTGAGGCAGGAAAATCACTTAAACCCGGGAGGTGGAGTTTACAGTGGGCCCAGAACAAGCCACTGCACTCCAGCCTGGGAAACAGAGTGAGACTCTGTCTCAAAAAATAATAATAATATGTATTCAGGTTTGTGTACTTAATCAATATCCCAGACTATTATAGTGTCTCCCATACGATGACAATTCAGTTTTATACCAATGTATCAAGTATTTAAAACATTAAAAAACAAACTTTAAGATGGCTAGATCCTTCTTAAAAATACTCTCAGCTCATCAGAAACAACTTTTCTTCTTCTCGACTTTTGTTTGTTTGTTTTTATTTTTTTTGAGACAGACTCTCGCTCTGTCTCCAGGCTGGAGTGCAGTGGTGCGATCTCGGCTCATGGCAACCTCTGCCTCCGGGTTCAAGCTATTCCCCTGCCACAGCCCTCAGAGTAGCTGGGACTACAGGTGCGTGCCACCATGCCTGGCTAATTTATTTATTTATTTTTTGGTAATTTAGTAGAGACAGGGTTTCGCCATGTTGGCCAGGATGGTCTCGAACTTCTGACCTCATGATCTGCTCACCTCAGCCTCCCAAAGTGCTGGGATTACAGTCATGAGCCACCACACCCTGCCTACTTCACAACTTTTCTGTACTTAACACTTGAATGTCTCCAGTTGAGTTACCTAATTTTTATTGTGTTGTCTTAATATGTTAAATCATTCCACACTGAAACTAATAGTAAGCATTTTAAAATATGAACTGTTACCTCAGACTGTTAAACAAACCTTCCTAGAATGGTTTTCTAAACTGCTAAACCCTATTTGAAGGCGGCTGTCAGGAAGATACTGAGTTCCACGTTAAAGACAAAGAAAGGTAAGTCCTAATGTACAACAGAGGGCAAGTAATTAGGAGTACTGAAGATGATTTGGGCAAAACCTTGAATATATATTAAAGTAGAAGTCATATTGTACAGGCAAAGCTAACTGAAATGCGATGGAGACAACTGTAGCCAGTTTGCTGTTGTTGTTGTTATTGCTGAGATGAAGTCTCACTCTGTTGCCTAGGCTAGAGTGCGGTGTCATGGTCTCAGCTCACTGCAACCTCTGCCTTCTGGGTTCGAGTCAGCCTTTCAAGTAGATGGGACCACAGGTACATGCCACCACACCTGGCTAATTTTTGTATTTTCAGTAAAGACGGGGTTTCACTATGTTGGCCAGGCTGGTCTCAAACTCCTGACTTCATGATCCATCCTCCTCAGCCTCTTCTCAAAATGCTGGGATTACAGGTGTGAGGCACTGTGCCCAGCCTCCATCCAGTTTTATAGAGCCTTTCAGTGATGGGGAGTAAATGAAACATAACCTCTACAGTGAAGGAGCTTATAATCTAACGGGAACAATTAACACTAACACTGCTAACTGTCATATATCAGCACCTGGGTTCTAAAGTCAAACAGATTGAGCCTTTGTTGGCTCTGTGGCATTGAATTTGCACAGCTCTGTGACTCAGTCTCATCATTTAAAACCTGGTGAAAATACCACATAACAGAATTGATGGGAGGCTGAAATAAATTAAGGCATGCATAGGACATGGAACTGTCTGGTACGTAATTTTCATGCAGGACCCCCTCCCCCACAAAAGCAGGTAACAGCACTTGTTATTTGTTGTGAGCTGTGTTATCTTGTCTCCTCAAAAAGCTGGGGTCTTGAAAGTCAAGTTAATTTTCATTGAATAATTTGTGAATTAAAATAGTAAAATCTAATCTTAACCAAACATAGCCTTACAATATGAATCAAAACTTTTACACAAATAAAGATGAGGTGAGAAGGGAGTTCAAAAATTGGAAAATGTTGCTATTCATTAGAATTTTTTCAGCTAATTGAGAAAAGACTGTTATTATTGGAATTTAGAGGCAAAAACCCCAGGTTCAGCTCAAGGAACCATAATATTCCTTAGAATCATAATTTAAAAGCCGCTGGAAGCAAAGCCCAAATAAAGAATGTTCAGCACCTACAGCATATATTCTTCTAAAAACGTTTGCTGTTTTTTTCACAGAGTTAAATATTTGAGGTTCCACTATGTATCAGGACTTAAGGAAAGGAGAAAGAGGATATTCAGATCAGCAGTGATGGTGTTCACCCACTCTCAACTTATCTTTCAGAAAAGGAAATGTGGAAACGAGGAATATTTCAGTACGTCTCAGCACGCACCAAGGCAGATATCACTAAAATGTTCCAAGTAGGTTATATGTGGCTTACTGGAGAACCTACACCAATGAAAACATGCACCAAAGGCTAGATTAAGTCTCCATTTTGTTTAGCTGACACATGCAACTGAATGGAAGCCAAAGGGAAAGCTACCTCTCAAAAAAAAAAAAAAATTAAAAAAAACATGGAGTCCCTGATTGGGTGTGTAGCTGCTGGTGACTATGTCTTCACCACATAGGATCTTGCCATTTCAGAATAAGCCTAATTCTTACTAGAATATTTTCCACTAACATTCAGAACTTATGCTACATGCAGGAAAACTTACACACTCACTCACTGTACAGACCTTTAGGAAGATGGCAAGATTCATCAGGTTTTACCAGGATTTAAGACAATTAACACCAGGCAAGCCACACCCTTATAGGAGAAAGTGGAGTCACTTCCCAAGTGTATATGAATGATGGTGCATCTTCTAATTCTCCAGTGATCACCATTTTAATGATGGTGAAACTGGTACTAAACAGGGTGGAGATACTGATCCATGTCCCCTTTAAAAATGTCAGTAAGGCAGCCAAGACCGAAGATCATCTAATTCAGTTTGAGAAAAACAATTTTAAAAGTGGCAGCCATTAGTTAAAGGGTGAAATTGGTACACCAATGAATCATGCAAGATATAAAGGCCAAGAAAAATGAAAGGTGCTACTTCTGTAAGTTTCTGTCTTGGTGGATTTTCATTTGGAGGATATGTTTGGGTTAGAGATAGCTTAAATGACAGGTGGAACCATTTAATATTATGTTTGGGGGTTTTGAAGGATAGGCAGTTACAGAGATTGAAACCAAGGTCCTGGAGAACCCCATAACGTATGATGATGCAGGCAGCAGAGAAAACAAATAATGGCTTCAAACACGAGCCCCACATCAAAAGTCACAAGGCACATGTTCTAAATTGTATGGTGAGTAGCAGCAGGGATTTATTT